CTTTTAATGCCCACACATCTTTTCCCCATTGATGTTCACTTATTCACTTATTTTGTAATCTCGTAGAATGGGAGCGCTAGGCTACAGTCAGAACAAGAAATGTCATGGGTGAACATCACAAACAAAAAGGGGCTCCTAATCCTTTCTAGGTAGTAATCATTCTGAATCAGATTTTGTAGATGGTACTGTTAGAGGAAAACCCAGGCTGAGATTAGAGAGACCCAGAACTTCTGTAAGGAACTTTACATCTCAAAGAATCAAAAATCCGTTGGAATGGTTTTTCTTCCCTCAGGCTTCAAGAGTTTTAGGAGTGTTCGAAGCCAAGCAAAATTCATACTTAGCACTGAGCAAAGCAAAACAGTTATTTCAACCAAGCTATGTTTTGATGTTGGTCAAACCCCAAGCTCACAGCAGCAATGCTGGGTGTCATACCACAGCTATTGAAATAATCCCAAAATTAATGGAGCTCCATGTGAGCTGACACACCTACATTTTCCTCAGTTCCATCTGAGACTTATCTACAGCAGTGTTTCTTTTCTTAAAAGTACCCTCTTCAGTCAATTTTGATTTCAGGAGTGGATTCAGCCCTAATTTTATGTGTCTTCACCTCAGCTACTCACCCTTAGCGTCCTTTACAATCAGTAAAGGCTAACAGGTACTTCCAAGGTGCAGTTCAACCTGTTTTAGATGCTTACATTAGGCAGAGGTCAATCATGCCCGAGACTTGCTCTTAATATATAAGGAGGCCAACTCAGAGGCAGAAGCCTACACTGTAAAAATTTGCATCAGATGAATCCCACTCCATTTGATTATCAAGAAAGTCTACATAGTTGGAAGAATTTCAAGATGATGGAACATGTTTTGATACATAATCCGTCACATCTTAAAATCTCTCCTTCCTTACAAGTCTAAAGGAAATATTGATGGTTGTTTATCTTAACACCGTGCAAAGCAATTGGTTTACTTGTTTCTAATTATTCAGATCTGAATTATTAGCAAAGCAAATTTCTGCCGCTTGAATCCAAATATAATTAATGCACCAGAAAGCTTCTGCTCTAAGCTCCATTCTTATAACAACCTTTGCTTCCTAAAATCATCATGAAAATTATAGTGGCCTTTGAAAGGAAGAATTCATGCAAAGCAATCCCCCGTGCTTTTTAAGACAAAGACCAAGGGCAACCTCAGAAAATAGGGAGGTTAAGATTCAGTTGGCTGGCACAGACTGAGATTTGGTTTTGGTTGTCAGATGAGAAGAAAGGGCAGGACTTGTTTATTTAGTCCACCCCTTGGTTTAAGCAGCAACATGACAAGTTATGCAAAGGAAGCCGGTTTATTCTCATATAGATGCAGGTTGGAAGAGTTCATTTGAGATGTTTTGGTCTTGGAGGGAAGGATGGGAGCGACAGAAAGGTTACATGTCCTGACTACAATAAACGCCTCTTTGGCTGGTTAATGGAGCGGCAGAAGCGCTGGGCACAGAGGCAGCGGTGAGCTTCACCTTCTCAGCTGGAGGAGCAGCCCACAGTCGCTGCCATCACCGAGTGCAACGGCTTACTCGAGGAAAAAAGACAAAACTGTGCTTGATTTCCAGAACCGGGGGGGGGGGGGGGGGGGGGGGCAGGAAATCCTCCTGACCCTGTCAAGGCTTTGCTGATCTTAATGGGTCTGCCACAGAGAAAAGCTCTGCTTGAAGAGCAGAGGGGTGCCGCTCCTGAGGGACGAGTTCAAAAACACCAGCTCAGAAACATTAATAAAAACATTCCCCACTGTTTCCTTATCAGAGCTTAAAAGAAACAGCTTACTGCAGAGCATGCTGGCAAAATCTGTATGCTTATATCATAAAATACACATACGTTTATTTCTGTAAACTAGTAACTGGGTTTCCTGGAGAATGAATGAATTTGTTAAGATAACCAGTTTCTGGCATAAGTAGACCCCATAAAGAGAGGCTTAATGCTTATTTCTAATCTCCTGGAAGACTCCACAAATGAAAAAAAATGAGGTTAATCACCAATGAAGTACTACATCTTTTGTTAAACATTAATTATTTTTAATTTTTCCCCATCACAGATTTTACAAGGTTCTCATGAATCAAGAATTAATTCAGAGGTTTTTATTTATCCTCTGCTGTGAATGGATCCCTTTTCAGTGGAGAGTGAATGAATTTATTTTGTATCAGCTTGAAAAGAAAATCCTTCGGAAAGAACTGGTGATCTTTGCCAGAGAAATCCAGACCAAGTGAAACATTTCATTGTTCAGGCTGTTAGATCCTAATGAGTTCTGCATCTAAGCACTTGTGATTTTTTTCCATCTGATCTAGCAGTAGTATAGCAGCTTATGCACTTAAATGTATGAGACTTGTTTGGGAGGAAGATTTGTATTAAAGGAAGGCAGCATGTTCCATAGTTTTAGTATAACATCTGTTATTATCATTCAGTGCTGCTCTTAGCCCAGCATGCCCTTTCTCTAAATATCTTATTAATTAATCTGGCTTAGTAGGAAAATAATTAATACTTTAAGTCCTGTACATACTTAGAAAGGATTTAGAAACTGAAAAAATGTTTTTAGTCTGAGCTTCAAACTGGAGGGTTGGGGGTTTTTTTCATTTTTGAGCAGAAGCATATTACAACTAAAAGGGAGTATCTGAAAAGCATATGTATATACAGTCTTCCAAAAATATACATTCTATATTTGAAATTCGGCTAGACTGCAAAAATAGTCTGTGACTTTGAGAAGTCTTGGGCAATACTTGAGTGTCTTCCCCAGCAACTGTTTTGCGAGAGGTGTTCCTGCACTTCTTCAAAATGTCCTGATATCCCTACTTAGCACTTCAACTTCCAGAATCATTAACTCCAATATGCAAAATTATGTGTTTCTTACCACTACTTTAATAATGTGGTGGGACTTCCTAGCCATGCAGTGAGTGCTCCCTTGCATAGCCAGCTGTTGACTAGGCAGGAGGGTGAGACAGTGAACCCGGGTGAGTGCCAGGGAATTTGTATATAAAATGTGGATCTCTTGCTTAGCTATTTATGGTAAAGTACAGAAACAGCATTATTTGCCCGTGTCTTTGTTTTGTGAGCAGTGCTGCTGTCTATATGCAGAAACTGCTGCTTTGACGCTGCTGTCCCACCCAACTTGATTTTCCACTGAAGAACAAGCTTGCACAGACTGGGTGCTGTTCGCTGCTTAGGCTAAACAGAAAAACACTTTGTCAAACCTACTGGAAAAGGTGTTGGGTGCCACCAAATTGCTCTTTAAAAGTCAGTGAGGGTTTTAACAATTTCTTTTGTGGAAGAAAGTTCAGGAGTTAGCTGTAGCTTGTTTAGGCTTTTTTTTTGGAGGGGCTGAGGACAGCTATTCTTACGGAGGAAGAGGAAAAAGCTTTAAATGCCATACCAGAACCAAGGCCCCTTCAGCACAGGGAAAAGGCGGCTTGGGGAGCAGGCTGCAAGGTGACTCCAGAGTCTGATTGTTGGATTATTATTTTTTTTTTCAAAAGCATATTAGAAACTTAGAAATCAAAGTTTCATTGGAAGTGAGTGAGGTGCCTAAAGCGCTTCTTCAGGCAGGGCTGAGGCACTGGAAAATGCTGTGGCTGTTATGTTAACAGCCTCCAAAATAAAACTGTACCATGTGGCTGGTTAATGGGTATGGGGCTTTGTGTCTCAGCATAAGGGACCTGCCATTAATTCTGGTCACTGCTGAAGTTCGGAGGATGCGTTCAGGGAAGGCCGAGGGGTTTATTAGCTACTGACTGTACCTGCTGGCTGTCTTTGTCCTCAAGAATACGTGTTCAAAACTGATTGCAAAAATGGGGAAACCTAAATTTACTCTATGGAAAAGAATGAAGCAGAGCTGGCCTTGTTCTTACTAAACTGTAAGTGTCTGAAAGCAAGTAAGTTGCAGTGAGTGCAGTGTGTCAGTATAAGCATAGCTAATTCACCAAGCCTGTGGTGCCCCTGCAGGCACAGCCAGCGTGCAGCAGTGTCAGCAGAGGTTACACCCCCACGTTTTCAAGGGTGAGGATTTCGAAGCCTCTTTTGCTTTAAATCTGCCTTGGGCAGACTGGAGATGCTACGTCCCAGTTCATTTGTGTGTGCGTGCATCTGTGCTGGGTCTGGTAGGGGAGCATATGGCAGAAGCGATTCGCCCTTGACAGTGCCTCTTTTTTTGGCAGGCACGGGCTTGTTTCTTGCAGAGAGCGCGCAGTCGCAGCCACTCCTGCACATCACTTCTTGTGCCCCTTGCTTGCTGGCTTCCAGCTCTTTGCCTGAATGCGTGTCCTTTGTGGTGTTTTGGTTAATTGGACATTGTTTTAATTACTGCTGAACTAAACAAACATGAAATTTCTGTCTGTTGTTTTGCCACCCCAGTGACCACGGTCTTCGAGAAGCCAATACAGGACTCACTACAGAGCTGCTCAGACCTGGTGTAAACTGCAGTGGCTGGGGGAAAACACCCCTCCAGGGAGGAGAAGGCTCTGTTAAACAGCTCTTTTTTTGCAATGTCCCAAATGCCTTGATCTGTTCTCAGTGGAGTTAGTGGCAAACAAGCCTTGGCTTCAGGGCAGTGGAGGTGCCAATCCTCTTCTGTGGCCTGAGGACAGTCCACAGCCACATCTTTCATTGGTGTGATCCTTTGGGTTGCCTCCTTTCTTACCTGTCCCTCTCCAGCTTCTGCACTAATTGGTTTTTTTCTCCCTTTGCTGTCTCTAATTCTCCATAGAAATGCTTGGGCCATGTGGCAAGATTAAGCAACGGGAGTGCAGAAGTGCCCTCAAATCAGTCAGTCTATAGCCATGTCTGTCAATAACGGCTGCGCTGCAGCAGCAGGCAGGTTCTCTGGACTGCCAGTAGCCTTTGTTTCAAGATGCTGATTTGCCACTGACTTGAAAAGGAGAAAAAGCAATTTTTAAATGTCTTAAAAGGCATAGAACCTTTTAAAACAATAATTTCCCTTCTTTTCTATTTATATTGACCCTTCTCCTTTGCTTACAGCTTTGGAAAGAAAAATATCAATGAGGCAAAGCAGAGAGGAGCTTATAAAACGAGGAGTGCTGAAAGAAATTTTTGATAAAGGTAAGTGTTCTTCTTTTCACAACATTAAATAGACATCCCATGTAGTTTTATGACCAGATATTACATTATTGTAACACTAGGAACTGGGAATACAATCCTGAATTGCAGGACTGTGCAGAATAAGGTCTCCAAACGTCTCTTTCTAATTTCACTGTGGGCTGGCCCTCCCCATTGGATGCATGTGATAATTATCTAGCAAATAAAACCGAGGGCTAATCAGAAATGTAAAGCAGTGGAAATATAAATCATGGCAGCATGCAGGAGTCACTTGCTGCAGAATAGCAAGGCATCCAGACTGCGGAGAGATGGAGTGGGTCCATGCCTGCATGTGTTAGCGTTGTCTGGTTGAGCCACTCTGGGATTAGCTGTTGTGGAAAAGGGGAACATTTAAAGGTTTTAGATACTCACAAGCACAGAACAGTGCACATTCCCTTGAAACAGCTCAGAAGACATAATAATAATAATTCCTTCTTCAGGATAATTAATTTGTAGATATGGTAATGTATTATTTATGCAAAACGCCGTTGTTTTACAAACACCATTGTTTTACATTGGTAATGCAACACATATTTGACACCTATTATGCGTGTGTCAATGTTACACCATAGCTTTTATTTGTTTTGCTGCTTCCCTTGTCAATAACTAAGGCAATGAATTAGTCAAATTGTATAAAGACATGCCAAAATTGCCTCATAATTTCAATAGAACTTATGCATGTGCTTTAAAGCCTCATTAATTCAAAGTCTAAAAGTCTTTAACAATACCAGTACAAAACCTGTTAGAAGTCAATAGAAGTTATAAACTTTCACAGCTATAAGAAGTAGGGTCTACCTCATAAAGTCTGGAGCATTTAAATCTGCTACCTGTTTTTTTAGTCTAGTTTACTGGGAATTTAAAAGTTTACTAACCAGAGCTGTTTATTTTTTTAAGTAAGCAAAATAAAAAACACTGCAAAACCAAAGAAATATGCTGCTTGTTGCTAAATTCTACAGTCGTTACCCATTACATATTTTAGACGCTGCTGGTCCTTTAGATCTAATACTGCCTGTGCTCTCATCATGGCCTGCTGCCTTGGAAGTCATCCTAGATTCAACTCCCGTGTAGAAACAACACCTGGCAGAAGTTTTGCCCTTGGGTTGTCCACGTTTTGGCGTGTGACTCGGATCGGATGCGCGGCCAGGAGGCAGGCATCCCGGCGAGGGGCCAGGGTGTAGCTCCCTATTCAGTGCCCTGGCCAGCTCAGAAGTCAGCCTTCATCACACTTCCACCCGGGCTGTGCCCTCCTTCATCCCTGCCTCACATCACACACCGTCACTGCTTCCTGACCTGTCCCTGCACATGCCTAAAGGCATCCTCAGAAAAAAATCTTTCCGGTGCAGCCTGACCCTGCCCTCCATGCTGCTACCAAAGTGTTGCAGCTTTCTCCATTCATCATACACTGCTGTAGTTTGTAATCTTCTATGTCATCTTGTGAAGCGGATGCTAAGCTGTCTGAAGATCCTCATCTGAAAAACAGGTTAATTCCTCTTTGTAGTAATTTTGCACCTTTTCATATCAGAAAAAGCTGGCATGAAACACATGTTGCTTCATCCTATTTCCAGTGTTAAAAGCAGAAACATCAGGCTTTTTCATTGTCAGATGCCACTAGAAGGGAAACTACAATGCAAAGCAGCTGGACTTCTTATCCAGTATCCTACATTATTTGCTGCTGGTTGCAAACACAGGAAGCTAGAATCGGTACCCCTCCTTGAAAGAAAGAGGTAGGACAGAGAAGAAAGTGGTAATATACAATTATAGTATCAGTGATCAAGTAGCTTTGATGATACAAGTATTTGAGTAAGGCAAGATTTGTAGAGCAAAAGCAATTTCCTTCAGTGGTGTAATAATCTGAGAGTAATTCTAATAAAGGATATTATATCTCACTGTGAACCTTCAGTGGAAGTAAGTAACATTTTCCTTTTAATTCCTGTTAGGTAATCTCTAATCCTTCTCAAAAACACAGCAGACTTCAGCACTTCATAGCAGAAGGCTTTATTTGATGGTGGTAGCACCTTCCATGCCAAGAGACATCTTGCACAGACAATAGATGTAGCCATAATGTTAAATCTCTTTGTCTCCCTTTCCTAAGAGGAGGACAAAGCAGACAGAATCAGCCTGTGCGTGAGCAATTTTGCCTTTTTCTTTATTAAAAAAATCCAAACAGATCAAAGGAAACTTATTATGGATAGGCCAACCCAAGAACAAAAATTCTGGAGCTTGCTGTATGCTTAGTATTGGTTTTATCATATCTTCTATGTTGAAGAAAAACAGAATTAGCAAGTTCGCTCACCTGCTGTATAAAATGACACTCTGACCTGTTTGTGTCAGGATTTGCTGGCTTTTCAGAGGACTTGGTGTCATCCAGCAGGTGAAAGTTAGCAGAGGGCAGTAAGTCACGGTGTTCACACATGGGAGAGTCAGTGCAGTCCAGCTGCTGTATTTGGGAAACGAGAAATGCTTTTATCACTTCAGTGACACCCACACTTAAAGTAGTCAAGTGAAACCACTCCAGACTGAACTGCAGAGAGCCTTTTTCTTGGCAAGGGCCAGACTCATGACAAAATCAGTTCCTGTCATCTTCCATTTCCAGGGTTCTGTGACTTGAGTCTTCTGAAAATGTAGGCAAAGGTTGTAATTTTTTCAAATACTATGTACTTCTGGAAAAATCATAAATTGAAGAAGCATCTCATGGGCACCTGCTGTTCTAATAGTTTGTGGGCAGGCAGTGGCAAGAAGTTTAAAAACACAGCTTCCACCTTCAACTCAGAACATAACACAATTTAGATAAACTCACATTCTTGCTCTACCATTGCTCTCACACATACAGATAAACAGCTTTGATTTCACATAAGGGTGTAACCATCCCAAAAGCATCTGTCTTTTGAATTGCCTACTGTTCCATGGTGCTGGTCAGAGAATTAAATCTACTTGTAGTATTTTGATACCTCTTCTTTTTTTATATGAACATAGATGAGATTGCCTGTAGTGAGAAATTTCTGAATATGACTGTATGCTGATTGCCTGATTGAAATGACGGTGCAATGGTTCTGCAACGTAGCATGGGCAGTCTTCATCTTTTTTATTTTTGTGGTTTTGTACTCTAATCAACATGATAGATTTAGGCCCAAATTTCAGGTTACCTAAATCCTGACAGGATTTGGAGGTGTTGTGCTTACGTGCTGAGGCAGGTGTTGTGGCAGTATGCGAGCATAAGTTTGAATAAGTAGCTTTGGTAATGCAGCAAGGAGGAAGGCATGGCAGCCAGCAGAGAGCCAGTTGTGCTGCAGTTTCAGTATGCTGGAAGGATCTGAACTCCTCCAGAAGCAGGGAGGACATCCATATGTCATCCTGTCTCAAACTCAACAGGATCCCACAAAATTGGAGGGTCTGCTTAGAGACTGAAGTCAAGGAGGATCCTAGCCACTGTGCTAAGGTAGCCACAAAGGCTAGGAAACAGCCCCGGGGACAGGTCTTGATCACATGCAAGAGCACTCAGTTTTCCATCCCTTAACCCATGGGGGCCATGACACAGAAGGACATGAATTTTTCTCTGCCCTTCCTAGCCTTTGCCATTGAGAATGCTTGCCTGGACAGTCTTAACTTGAGAGCAGGCAAGTACTGAAGGAGACAGCCCAAAGTGAAAAATAACTCAGGTTTTCAAATTGTCCTCATCACTTTGACTTCCTTAGCCATTTGTCTATGGAAGGAGCACATGAGCGAGGTACTTTTAGATATGCAAGAAGTTCCCTAGTCCAAGGTGTTCAGAGTGAAAATACATGGTAAGAGGGTAGGCACAGATCCAGTGTACTGAAACAACAAAAAGACTCGTTTGTACCAGTCAGCATGATGCACTGTGGGCTGCTTTGCACCAGGCAATTTTTTAAAAGTACCTGAAAATGGAAATGGCAGGTGAGTTCAGAAGTGCAAACCATGCTTTGAACATATCATGGTTTGAACATATCATCTATGCATTCACCCCATGCTGTTATTTTCACATGCTAAGGTGAATCAAAGTGTCTGGGTAGAGTCCTCTGTATCAGAGAGTTTCCTCTGAGGGCCTGTTTCTTCAGTGACTTCAGGTGTGTGAAGCTTCTGAGTCACAGAAGAACAGCCTTCACCTCCTCCTGTTGCTGCAGAGGACAGGCTACTCTCTCGTCCCATCCAGATCCAGCTGATTCACACTCATCCAGCATTATCAAAGCTCATGCATTTAGGGAATGTTGTTCTCCAATAAGTAGCAGCAGGGTCTGTCAAAACACAGCAAACGATTTAGCAAGTGTGAGAACAAAAGATTACATATGTTACCACTGTGCAAAATTAACTTTAAACTCATATCCTGTTCCTGGAAACTAATTGATTCATCCATGTCTGTGTAATAATTGCATTACCAGGATTCTTTTCATTTGTATGTCAGCTAACCAGAGTAGCTTTTAGGACTTTAAAAATAATCAGTAATTTGCCTTTTGTATCTGATTGTCACGCATGTCTCTGATCCAGGATTAATTCACACTAAGATATTCTTCATTCCACAAATTATTTTATCCACATCTTTGTTCCCTTTACTGTACTTGAGCAGCTCCCCATGTGGCTCTTCTTTAAGAGAGATCTGATTTAGGGTGTGTATTTCAGTAATGATTCTGTGTCATGTCTGGTGATTTCAGTCAAATTGAAGGACAAGTTTTAGAGTCTAAATGAAAACCGGAGGTATTCAGAGGTAAGATTAACAGAGGTTATGCTGTCAGTACAGAGGGCTGTCATGCTTGTTATGACAAAAAGCAAAACCCAAAATTTTATCTCATGTTTTACTTTTTTGCACTCATAAACCTTCAACGGGTTATTTGAATGCCATCTTCTTAAATCATGCTGAATATACCACGAGAAGTGCAAAGTGCACTTAAGACAGGTTTCAAGGTGCTCAGCATGTTACGATAGGCATCCCACTTCATTAAAAATGTGTAGACACCCCTCCAAAACATAAGTGCTACCGGTTTTATCATGCATACTTTTTGTCTGCTCACGGTGATGGTCAAATTTAGTCCTGCACCAAATTAATGAGTATTGCTGGAAGCAATCACTGCCTTTCATTCAAGAAATAGTTGCTCTGCATAAGAAATAGTTATGCTCTTTCATGAAACCAGGTAACTGAGACAACAGCAGCCCCTATCCCAAACACGTGTGAAGATGTGTGTTTATAAAAGGGAGACAGCAAGTACAGAATACATAGCATTTCCACCCAAACAGCTAAGTCAAAAAACATTCAGCTTAAATACTGGCTGAACTGTTGTTTGATTTTTGCTGCCTAGGGAAATAAACGCGTTTTGTATTGAATGACCCACAGCAGTTAGAAGGAGACTGTGTTGTGAGCAATTGGCCCAAACCTTCAGTTTTGATTAATGTTGCCACCTTTTAGCCAGCTCAGTTGATTGCTCTGAAAGCCATGGGTCGGGTTTCAGTCTGATATGATGTGGCTGTGTACCATAATAGCTCTCTAGGTCCTCAAAAAGCCTCCAACAAAAACAAGAAAGTCAAGACCTTGGTATTTCTAATAATTCCAAAATAAGCAGGAGACCGTCTTCACTCGCTGTAGAGAAGCTTTAAAAGGCAGAAACATAAGTCTGAATACTTACTAGGTAACGTACTTTCAGACTTGTTAATTGCCGTGTCCTGACGCTTAAGTGAGACATAAATTTTTTTCTCTTTTCAGTATTGTTTTCCAGAGTGTTCTGCACATCTTAGCGCTGTGAGGGAAAAATGTGCACTTGCTTGAATGATGTACATCTCTGCTCGGTACATTGAGCAGTAATATGGCTAATCAGAGGTGCCCAAAAATCAAGAACCAGATCCTGAAATCCTGAGTTTGACTTCAAAAAATAATTTAAATGCATAGTAAAATTAGGCTTCATGTATTTGCCTGCTGGTTTTTAGCGTTACAGGTCACATTCCGGTTATATTTTCAGGCTTCCACTCGTAACCATAGGGGCTGAACGCTTTCCTTTATAAAATTGTAATTGAGATATCCATGTAGTCATTGCCTCCAGGTACCAGAGTGCTGTGAATAACAAGTTCTGAGATAAAAATCATGCGGGTTGACACCACAGAGAATTATCTGATCCCTTGCTTCTGTTCTTTATTATTTCTAATGTAAAGTGTCGTTTGATAGGAAAGAAACCACCAGCTGCTGTTACAGAAATTTTGCTCAGATGCAGGAGATATTATTAATAACTTCAAAGCAGGCTTTCTAAATGGAATCTGCTATATCCCAGTATTAAGACCTTACACCAGGCAACTATACAAATTATTCTCTCCCTCACTTAAAATCTTGATGCCGGGAGCTGTAATGTTTTTATTTCTGTGTAAAATAGGGACATACTTCTGTGATTTTGCTTCTGTCCCTTATAGCATTAAAATTGGTGTAAGGGAATAGAGCCATGCTGCTTCTTATTATTAACATATTATAAATTATAGACTGTGTATATTAGTATTCTTTAAAAAAGCTCCATAGCTTCAGTTCCAGCCCGTTCTCATTCCTAACTTCCCAGCTTCAACAGAGACAGAGGGAAAACAGATGTTGTGGCCCTGGATGGGGCCACATGGTCCCATGGGTGGAGGATGGTCGGGAACCATCCAGCTTAGACCATGGATCATAATGACCATCCTAGGGTAAGCAAAAGATCAACACAGATGTTTGACAGATCTGTCCCAAATCTCAGTAACCCCTTAAGGCATGTGGAATGCTGTCAGACTTTTGTGAAATTGTTGTGGACGGAACATCACAGTCAGACATCTCCAAAAATTGCTCTGCACAAAGTTGTATTTTTGAGATATAAACCATATTGTTTTGATCCTTATCCTTGTGTCTTTTGTATACGTACAAGATCTCAGTTCAGGTTCCTCATCTGCAAGCAAGCTAATGGAGATAGATTTCATTTTACACTCTTTCTGCATCTTATTTACATGTCTTCTATTGTCATTCTGCTTTCCTTCAACTATGAACAGATGGGGAACTTTCCATACCAAATGAAGAAGGAGCTTTGGAGAATGGGCAGCCTCTGGGCTCCGGACAAGTGCTGAGCTCCAGCCAGGTCTCCCTGCCAGCCCTAGCAGAACTGGAGTCAGGTCCAGCATCTGGGGAACCCTGCTCGTACGAGGTGCTCCCGACCACAGAGATCATGGATGGGACAGGTAACACCTTGCTTACAGTATGATGTAGCTACTCTAAGCTGTTTGAAACAAGTTTTTGACTTCTAACATTTGGTGTCTAGCCCTGAGAAATCCTTTTCAAAGACAGAAGTCTTCTGGTGGAGAAGGAGGTGACAGCATACAGATTGTCAAGGAATGCCCCATGAGAAATTTTTACTGACTTGGCATAAAAGTAGCCTCTACTTCTACACAGGTGACCTCTTTGTGAGTAAGACAAAGTCCCTGCACTCTGTGAACATTTAAAAGTAGATTTCTAACTCTCTAACTGTGCCAGTGAGCCCCAGAGCAGAGAGCTGACATTTTTAAACCCTAGAGTACAACGTCATGCCCTTTAGCTGCCGCATGATGTTGGGTGATGTTCACACCACGCATCTTTTAGTAGCTAACACAGCCAGCTGCCCTGCCCTAGGTGAGGCTCTCTGCACTTCTTCCCCAGCCCACGCAGAGAGACAGCAATGCTGCACATCTGCCTAGGTTAGCTCCTCTTTCTGCATCACTTAGCGCTGAGTTGTGGACAAAGGTCAGAACAAGGAAAAGTGACTGGTAGAAGTGTTCATCCAGGATCCTGCGCAGCTATGCAGCCTCTTTGAAATGGAGTAGGCCCCGTGAGGTGCTTTTACATTTATAGGATAGGTTTAGAGACCAGCTGCTAATATACCTGGTCCTGAGCCAGCTGTGGTGACAGACCATCTGAGATGTGACATTTCAAGGCTCTTGATTTGTGTTCAAGATGTGGGAATACGTCCCAGCCTGGCATAAGTAGGAGCTGGCTTCTGTCAGAGGTAATGGGTAATTCGGCTGTTATGTAGATGTGTGTTGCTTCTTCTCTTTCTCTTTTTCTCTCTTTCTTTCTCTCCTCCTTTTTATGTTATATGATGTTTGAGTGAAATCTGTTAGTCATTCTTAATCTGCATTGCTGTGCTGCTTTTCTTGTCTCACTACGGCTGTATCCGCCGCTGCTTTGCTCATAACGTTGTTGCGTCTGTGATGTGGTTGTGTCCTCCAGCGTCTGAAGACAGTCCCACATCCAATGAATCCGGCGTCCTCCTGTCCCAAGATCCTACAGCTAAGCCAGTCCTGCTACTTCCCCCCAAAAAATCTGCCGCTTTCCCTGGAGACCATGAGGACACCCCAGTGAAACAGTTGTCCCTCCTCAAACAGCCCCCTGCCCTGCCTCCTAAACCTATTGCCAGGATTGCCAGCCACTTAACTGGTAAGTAGGTGTTCCTGGACCCTCAGCACCACCGGTTCCCTTACAGGAAAAACCTGCCCTTACAGCCAGTCCTTCCTCCTCCTGTAACGCTGTTTGCACGTGTTGTTGTGTGTACTGGTAATGTATCTGTGTTGTACCTAGGGCAGGGATCACGAAGCGTTTTCAGGCTATAACTTCATCAGGGTTGCTTCAGGGCACTTCCCCTCTCAGCTGTAATTACCTAAGCACCGCTGCGTTTCCTAACCCTCCTCACTTATTCATCAAGACTTACCATCACGACAAAAATTGCAGGTGCTCTGATAGGAAAGGAAGTGTCAGGAAAATACTAGGATATCTTTAAATTCCTTTAATGAGAAAAGGGGCTTGAGGGAGAGTTTTGCTTTCTCCTTTTGCCCTTTGTTGCTTTTCCCCCTCAACTGCCTTCTGGGCGGGTCCCCCTGCACACACCCTTTATCTTTCCCTGTATTTGTCTTTTACTTGGCCCCCTGATCCTTACACAGGCCATTCTGCCCCACAGCTTCTTGCCATTTTGCTTTTCTGCTCACGCTGCCTGCCTAACTCTCCCCGCTTTCCTTCCCTGCTCTGACTGCTCCCCCCACACTGGTGAGTCCTGATGATAATGGGCAGCTCCAGTTCCCAGTGACCAGGATTTTGGTGTCCTGCAGTTGATACTGCAATTCATCTCAGTGCATGGCAGCTAGCAACAGTAGGCAATACAGGCTCCTTTTCTGTGTTCCAGATGTCTTTACAAGTGCCCAGGCGCTTTGGGATTCAAAGCTCTAGGTATAGATGGAAGGAGGATTGGTGGGTCTCCTCTCTCCAGTCTCTCATTTAGACCATGAAAGCAAAGGATGGCTACATTTACACAGACCAAAAAAGGTTCTCTAAATGCTTGCCTGCACCTTTTGAACAGTCTGCTCGTAATTGCAGCTGCTGCCCAAGAGGCAGCACCTCAAAATCATGAGTTCAAGATGAGGTGTGGTGCATCTCTGTATTAGCGGGGCTACAAGTCTTCTCACTGGGTCGATCTTCTTGTGTTAATGCTGCCCCGATCCTTTCAGGGCTGATGTGAGAAGAGCTCAGCCCATGTTAATACATTCCAGATTTTTATTTTTTTCCTGACAGTTAATACCTGTTTTATTTGGGTTAAGATACATATCAAGAAAGGGCTCATTAGGAAAGAGCATGTTCTGGTTTTCTCTCACATCTCTGCGTAGTCTCTTCATGTTTCTGTTTGGATGACCGCACACTTTTGTTCTGTATAGTTTTGTTCATTTTATGTGAAATCCCTTTACTTCTCTGCCTGCCAAAATCTACACATGATGGTTAGTATTTTGCCTTATACAACAAACTGAATGGGCAGTTCTGCAGCCTGCAAAGCCAGGCAGCACTATTAATGGCTTCAGGTGAGGACAAAACCAGCTTTCTATGATCTCCCATAACACTCTGTCCCAGTTACAAGAAGCTGCTCAGAAATGAGGCCAAGGTGGAAGAAATAAAAAAATAGGAATGGCATAAGAAAAAACTCAATGCTAAATGTCCTTCATTCATATGCCTTTCTTTTATAAGAGATATCAGAAGAATCAAAGGATGAGGGATTCTGGTGTGGTTTATTTTGCAGCTGGAAATTTTGTGTGAAGTAGAATCAGGCTCAAGCTGTCAGCATAAGTCAATTGCTTGATGGTGACAACTTCCCAATGAAAATGAAACAGAACTGTGACTTCTCTTACTTTGTGGTGGCCTTCACTAGTCTCACATCCAGTCCTAAATAAACTCTTGTATGTGCATATAGATAGACTCTTGTATGTGCATATACAGGACCCTCAGGAAACAGGAACAGAGATTCAGATTTAGCAATAGGGGCCTATTTTAATTGACAGTTATTCCTGATGGAACTGAAAGCCTCATGTGTACGTACCTTATAAATAAAAGTATTAAACTTATTCTTAAGGGTCCGTTTACTTTGGTGGTCTAAAAGATATACATGTTTTTCAGTGCCTTGTGTTCTCCACTGGTAATTATTTTAGCCGTGTATAATCTTTGGAAATGAGCAATCAATCCTAATGAAGCACCCTCATCAGTGAGAAGCAGAATTAATGCTATTCTTCTACTAATTACTCCAGAGACATCATCAGATTGTGTGTGAGAAAACAAGTAAAATCTGAATTCTGGCATTTGAGAAGACTTTTCTGTTCTTGTTGCATACTCATTTTTCTCCTGAATATTCTCTGAGAAGTTTGAAGAACAAATTAAGACATACTGGGTTTGGCTAACGGAGAGTGACAGTGGTTTAATGATCTGGTATCTCTGTTCAAGAAGACTGCGAGAGGAGATGTGATCTTATGGAGGGTTCAGGTACACATCTGAAAATGCGGAAGCACCTCTTAGCTTCAGTCTTAAGATGTGTACATGTATGTGTACATATGTATATTAATTTAATAGAAACATGTTTTTTACAAACATATACTACAAAATCACTACGGATGTAGTCAGCAGAAAAAAGAAAAAAACCCGAGAAATATTTTAAATACAAAACTTGAGAAAAGAAAAGCTTCCTTTGAGTCTGATGACCTTCTTGCTGTGAACTTATCCCAGAGTTCTTCAATAAAGTCACAAGGACTGACTTGCAGGGTTTGCCAAAGGACTTAATACAGGTTTTAGAAATGGAAGAGAAACATTCCTCACCTCTGAAAGCATTTGTGAACCATCTCAAACATCCATCTACCTGTGCCAAGACAAAGATTGGCCTTTCCGTCGATAAGAAATGCACATAAAAGAGCAGGCCTAAAATAAACATGTAAGAGCACATTTAATTTTGGGGAGAATGAAAAGCAAAAACCCATTTTAAAGGTGACAGGAGGAGAGAATTGCCTCTAGCAAATATGAATCACACAACCTTGGCATGCTGCTTTTCCAGGCTGTGGGGACGGGGCAGGATCCAGGAGCAGCCGCTGGCAGCGGTGCCGCCACCGCTGCAGAAGATGCTCCGTGCATTGTCTCACACCATCTCCCTTGCTCTTGATGATGCTACCTCCACAGGGAACGTCCCTATCACAGCACTGGGTGTGGAAGTGCCCACGCAGCCCCAGAAGACAGGCAACCCTAGGAGAAAAATATGATCCCTAACTGTTTTGATATTGTTCTTCCACTGCTCTGCATTTCCTGTTGGCCAGTCACCTCCTGGTGAGCCTTCTATTGGTTTTCAGATATGATTATTATTAGACAGCATTCATGGACAGAATTTCTTTCATCAGTTTAATTCTCCAGTATCCAGAACACAGGCATTTAAGACAGCAGTTGCAACCCCCTTCGTTGAAAATGTAGGAGGAGCTGAAATAGTCACCTGGGTCTAAATTTAATTGGACTGCTGGGGTCAAGTCCCCAGATTACCATAAAGTCTTTAATGGCCAAAATTGGGAAGGAGACTGGTCATATCTGATTTGGTAGACAAAATACACCAGTGGTGTAAAGCTCCCTTTGATTTTGATTCATTAAGCTGTTACTTCTCACCAGCACAGATAATGTTTTCTGAAATTAATTAGATATTTTCCATTCAAACAACTGAATCTCTGGTAACCCATAAAGTCTCCTAAAACACCAGAGAACAAAATATATGCCACTAAGCTTGGATCTCAGCAACACCTGAGTGTATTTGAGACCAAATTTAGCCTCATTATAGTAGGGTGTAGCCTTGGTCATATCTGTCCACTCAGCTATTTTGTTTAAGCTTTGAAAAACCTTTTGCATTCTCTTGCTTTATTCATACAAGATTTTGAGGAGAGGCATACCACGTTTTTAGTTCTCAGGCTGTACTTTCTAGTTATGTCTCTGTAGAGTAAGAACTGATTCATAATTAGAGACAAACATTTAACAAAGTAGGAAACATTGCAAGTCCCCGGAAGTTACTTCTGATAATGCAGACAAGGAAAGGATGAGGTTCAAGAATGTGGATGCCTGGTGTCCTGCTGCATTGCCACAACACAGCTTGTTGTTAGTTACAACATTATGAAAGTATTTACAGCTAAAATTTATACGATAAATATTCTCTTCAGTATTTTATAACACAACAGTCACATGTGTTTCAGAAGGCTTCTCTGTAGATGAGCCCAAGACGTTATCCACAAGCTTCCTCCTCTGTGATGTTACCCCCTGCTGCCTGCTCTGGCAGGCTCCATTCATGAAGGCAGGTTACATTCATGTGGGGGCAATGGACAATTCTCTTTTCACTGTGTGCTTGAGGGAGAAGCAGCAGATCAAAAGCAAAGCAACTCTCCTTCACTAGGAACCCCGGGTTCTCATGGAAAACTGGACCCTGATGCAGTTGGTCTCTCTGTTCTTCCCCTGGCTGCTGCTACCTGGAGGGGAGTACCTAGAACATACAAGCATCAGGCAATCTTCTTGTCCTTGAAATCCTCCTTGGGGCCCTGCATGGGAATTCATGCACAGCTGTACTTTTCAATCTTTAAGCTAATCATGCTTTTCCTGTGTTCTCCAAATTCAACTTGAACCTTGGATGCATACATGGTACAGAGCAGCAAAGAACTTCAGTCTCAAATCTTCCCTGAAGACATGACTGCAGATCTTGCGGTAATCAGCAGGAGACGCATGGCAAATCTTTGAGAAAAATTTTTAACTTGTGTTTATGAATCTGCTCAAAAATTCATTGAAATAAGAAAAGAGACTCCCTCTATTCAGGCACAAGTGTGTTCCCAGAGAGGAGGCCTGAAAAAGTAAAATCTACTTGTCCAAATGCTACGAGCAAATACAAGGCACATCACCTCATTTCCACTATGGAGCTCTCTCAACAGGCCACGCTGAGTTTTGCACTTCTTGTTTTTTGCACATTACAGAATGAATTACAAGGATAGAATTTAAAGAGTGACTCATTAACTTCAGGACAAGTTGTATTACTTGTAGTTGTATGTAGCACAGCAGATGTCACCGTATAAGGTCATTCAGTGGGAAGGAACCTCAGCAAGACTCCAGTCCAACCTCCTGCTCTAAGCAGGGCCAGCTGTGGGATCAGACCAGGGTCCTTCGTGCTTTGTCCAGCTGGGTCTTGAAAACCTCAAAGGATACTAGCTGCGCAACCTGTCTGGACAAACCTGTTCCACTGTTTGGCCCTTGTCATGAGGGAAAACATTTTCCTTGTAATCCAGTCTTGAACCTCTTTTGTTTCAGTTTTCACCCACTGTCTCTCATCCTCCCACCACGCACCACTGTGAAGAACCTGGCTCCACCTTGTTGATAACCTCCTCATAGATACCGGTGGGCTGCTGTTAGGTGTCGCCCCCACAAGCTATCTTTTCTCCAAGCTGAACAAGCCCCAGTCCCTCAGCTTCTCACAGGTCAGGTGCTCCAGCCCTCAACCCCTGTGGTGGCCCTCTGCTCAACTCATTCTGGGTTCTTGATGTCTTTCCGGGGAGATCCTAAGCTTGGCACAGTGATATATGTACAGTCTAAGGAGTGCTGAATAGAAGGGGAATAGACCTTTGATCTCCTGGCTATGCTTCTCCTCATACAGCCCAGGAGGCTGTTGGCCCCCCTTGCTGTCGGGGTACAATGCTGGCTCCTGTTTGGCACCACAAGGAGTCAAGAAAGAGAGTTTCTGCCAGTGTCAGGATAACAAACACAGCCAGCTCTGCTACAAGCCCAGGATTCCCAGTCATGCCCTCTTAATCCTTGCAGTAGTTGTGCTGGGTAAGGATTTCAGGTTTTTAATGAGCTTTTTTTTTCTAGGAACCCTGCTGGAGCAATATTTGCTGCCATTTGCGTCCGGAACTTCCTAGCACTCTGTCTGCAACGGGTGTAACTGCAACCAGTGCTGACCAACACTCCAGCCGTGTTCGGTGGCTGGGAAGCATTGGATTTGGTGTAGTTAGTGTGCGGCTTCAGTGTGCCACAAACACATCAGAAGCAGCAAACATGGACAGGCCTTCTGTGCAGTGAATACAAAATATGTTTATCTGTTTCCTGAAAAACCCAAGAGGAAATGCAGCAACTATAGGTATTAACAAAATTATCTATATGAAAGTCATAAGGGCTGACCTTATGTTTGTCATAGGTCTGATGTGCAGCAAATATTGTGGCATCTACAACTAGCTTTTAAGTAATGTATTGTCATCAGCAGTGGGAAGATTTCTATGTCTAACATCTCTTCCGTTAATTCTGACACAGTTATTACTTAACCATGCTCAGTGCCGAGCGGTCAGAACCCTGCTGGGAACCAACATCTTGAAAAATTGCTCATTATTCTCTTGAGCATGAAGAACCTCGTCCAAGAGAGATTAATCAGACTTGCACACCTGGCTTCACAGAGTTTGCTTCTCTTCTGTCACATGAGTGCCTTGTGCAGTGATTTAAGGCTGTGGTAATGTTCCACTGAGAAGACACTTAACTCAGATTCCTTGTTTATATTTCCACTGTCTAGCTTCTTACACATCTACAGATGTCCATGTCTGATGGGTGTCCCATGCTGGAGACAATAACTGTTTCCACCCCCTGGTTTATACATCACGTACATTGTAAAATTAAAACAAACAGAGGAAAGAACATTAAAACACAGTTATCCTACATTCAGGGACAAGATGTTGTCTTGCTTACTCCAGATGATGGTAGAGCAGTTTCCAAAAGCCTGCCTGGAGCCCATGAATTTGAGCAAGGCCCCATTTTTTCAGCACACTCACTGATCTGACCATGCAGTAAAACTCTCAGTACAAGGCCTCCGTTACTGATGTCGGTGAAGATATACATTTCCAAGAAAATGGATTGAACTCTCCTCCCATTACAGTCATTCTCCTTTTAGCCATTTTTTTTTTTAACAGACAAGTAGAATTCTCCCAAAGGTGAAGGGCAGGCAAGTAGATTTAATTCCTCTGGTTCATTTTCAAGGCTCTATGTAGGTATTAGGTCCATATTCAGACAGGCTCAAGAGCTCAGGTGAAACACAGTTGGTCTGAATAAAGCCTTATGTTAAAAGTAATGGACTAGATTTTTTACAGGTGTCCAGTGGAGTCAACCAGCACTGATACCATTGAAAACATGTTGATGTGAAAGATTTCTTTAAATTTAAGTGGAAACTAAAGGTCCATACCTTTGTTGTGAAGAGTGGAAACTGGAGTACGCACACCTGATTCATGATGGAGTATGTGGTTACTTGGGATAATTAAGCTATACTTGTTCTCTTCTGCAAATCTAAAGCTGCAGTGCCTCTGTCACAACTCTACTAAATGAATGTTTGCATAAGAAAAGAAAATAAATTTTTACTATATTTTAGAAGAAAGATGGAAGGATTCCTGTTTGCTTTATACCTGAACTATTTGACATGTTGTACTCACTCTCAACATACAGTATTTCTCTAATCTTCAGGATCACAGAAACCAGCAGATCCAGTTGATAATTCCAGTTATTCTTTTGTCAGAAGCAGTAGATGCCTACAGTTGGGATCCGTTTGAATTCACCATTAAGGATGACCCCCCAGCATCATACACAGGGTGGTAGGGCATCCAGCACAGGCACTGTCAGATGAAGATGTTAATTGAGATACAGAAGGATCTAAAACCAACAGTCACACCTGTACTTTTCAGAATGGAAGTGCACATCTCAGTGTAGTCTTTGTAATTCAGGACCAGCTCTAGAACTGAAATTGCCTGGAGCACAAATGTGTGAAAACACTTTGTTACTGCAAATCCCATAGAAGCCTCATTCTCAAGCCTCTATACAATTTACTATTTACTCTTTCTGTTATTTACCTCTTATTGAAGATGGTATTCTTTTATGCAGGCGAAAGAGGAAATATACACAGATGATGTGTATGTAAGAAAAACACCATAGCTTGGAGACCTTCCTGTGCTTGAATAGAAAATCCTGAAAGTATTTTTTTTCTGCTGTACAGAATGCAGTCTGCTTTAGAGGAGAGGACAGTGCCCTGTGGCTTTGCAATCCCATCAGTTAGATTTCAGCATTGGTGGAGCCAGCAGAAGAATTTTTGCCTTTGTGAGACATGTCAAGTGGATGCAATATTGGATTGAAAGCCAAAAGACTTAAGTTCTACTCTCTGTAACTCTCCCAGTCTTCAGTGTGGAAAGACCACTCTCTCCCCATGCCTCTGTTTCATCTTTGCACGCCCTTTGCCTCTCCTACGCCTTTAGCCTATAACCCTTTTGAAGAAAGGGAAGACTTGCTGTCAGTCTGTTGTTCCTAGCGTAGTAAAACCACTAGTATCAAGTGGATACTGTGGATGCAATGAAGCTACAACTAGCCCTAAAAAAAAGTCTAATGTCATATCTGAGCTTGGGTCCATGCATAGTCTTTTTCCACATTACTATCCTTAATAATTTTCAAGTGTTGGTGCTTGGAACTCCTAGTGTCAGCCTTGTGCACCCTGGCTCGTAGATACAGATATTAATATAGGCAATACCCAGAACAGGCCAAGAGGGAGGAGGGAATAAAAGGGGCAAGAATAAGTATAGTTAATACTAAAAAAAAAATCTGGAAAAGGACTTCAGAAATCTGATATTGCTCTGGAGGGTGATCACATTGGAAACCTGGAGGGCAACATCTTACTCCCAAGCTTTCACAGGTTGAAAGAAGATTCCAGCCCTTCAATTCCTCTACCATGTTAGAGTAAGAAGAGTGAATTGAAGCAACAATTGGCTGAAGAGCGCGCAAGCCTTGCCTGCAGAGCTGCATTGCAGAGCCAGATGTCTGTGGTATTCCAGGCTCGAAAGGGCCTGGCCTTCTTCCTAAACACAAACTCACAGCATATATATATTTACTCTTAGTTTTGCTCTTAGCATACGTGGTGACCATTTCCCACACCTATCTTAGGAGCTACAAGCCATCTCATTAACTTCTTTTCCCTTCTGAGAACATTTCACAGTGCAACTCCAAAAATCTCCATCCTTTAGTTGAGTCCTGGCAGAGAGAGATTTGCTTGTGGACCTTTCATTGATTTCCCACGGAAGTCAGAGGAGTCTTTGCCTGGCAGGTCAACTGTGTGATTCAAGGAACGTGCCTGGAGTTAAAAAGGTTAAAATTCAGTGCATGAGTCCAGAGAAAAGTGCCTGCCAGGTCTTCTGTAAAAGAATACATTAATCCTAACAATCTTCTGCCCTTTATAATTTTCTCCTCCTGTACCTTTAGTTTTTCCAGACCACTCCTGTTTAGTATTCAAACTCTATTTATTTTCTCTCTTGCCCTGTAATGTAATTTTTAACACCAGATGTGTTGCACATTACAAAGCTGTAAGAAATGTGACTTGTAGTAATTGCACTGCAGCCGCTGAGAAGGGTCAGGAGTCCCTGAGCTTTTGCTCCAGCAGTGAAGGTGGTGAGTCATGCTGTAACTTCAGACACCAAATTGCTCTCCCCCTGTTTGTATGCCTGTTGAGAAGGAGACATCACACTTACCTCACGGGACTGTTTTGGAGGATTAGGGCTTTAAAGCATCAAAGTGTGCCACGAGCCTTGTTAAGCATTGCTTAACGTGTTTATTAAGGGGCATGCACAGCCCTGGGATGTTTTCTGTGAGACCCAGAACTGCAAAACACCAGTACTTTTTACGAAGACCGTGATGAGCACACTCCGTGCAGAGTTGTCTGTCACAGCAGGGAAGGGATGCGCACTCCTGTATTGACTACCAACCTCAATACCTGCTTGCCCAGGCAGATACTCTGTTCTCCTTCTTACCGATATGAAAATTAACACCAAGGCCTCTCTTTCTTCTGTTTTAGATCCTGGCGCTCCTGTGAAACTGCCTTGTATGCCAGTTAAACTGTCACCTCCACTACCTCCAAAGAAAGTCATGATTTGCATGCCTTTAGGGGGGCCAGACCTCTCTCTCTCATCCTATTCCACGCAGAAGAGCTCCCAGCAGCCTTTGACCCAGCACCATCACACTGTCCTGCCATCCCAGTTAGCAGCTCACCAGCACCAGCTCCAGTACGGCAGCCACAGCCAGCACCTGCCTTCTGGGTCCAGCACGTTGCCCATTCACCCTTCAGGGTGTCGGATGATAGAGGAACTGAACAAAACGCTAGCCATGACCATGCAAAGGCTAGAAAGGTAATGGAACAAATTTTAAAATTACATACTGATACACACTGTTTCTTGCTCACCTCGGTATTGATATCACCGCTTGAGTTATGTTGGTAGTACTTGAATGAGGCCCCTCCTCTGGGGCCTGACAACTTCAGGGCAAAGTCACTGCTGGAGAAACAGAGGCAGGGAAAGAGCCTGTCCAGGCTTGTTTGACAAGTTTGTGGCAGAAAGGAGAAAAAGGCCAAATTTTCTGAACCCCACTGTCCTGTTCAAGGAAGTAGTTAATACAGCCAGTGGAGAAGATTTTAATAGGACATACCTGGCTTGCAATATATACTGCAGAGTGCATAACTGCAGCACTTCAGTTATGTGGAGGATTGCCAAAAGCAAGGAAAAAGGAAGTGGAAGATTCAGAAAAGAGCAATAAAAACCAAATGTGCCACTCAACCAGGGCATCTGATTAGTATTATCAATTAGCTCAAAACAGACTATGAGGACTTCCTACAAGTCACTCAGAGGGGTTTTAATATACTATTTAAATTGTTTCAATTAATTTAAATTAAATTAGATGTGTGATCTTAAAATAATCATTTAACTCATTCCACAGCAGCTACCTTCTTAGCCATTTGCATCTGGAGGAAAGTAGTACATTTGATCAGCAGTGCCTTACCCACCTTGGGGCTGGTTTTTATTACTGTCGTTTGTGAGTATCTCTGAATGCTGCTCAAAATAGTCTGAGTAAGCGAAGCATGCTGTATAAATGCAAGCTGTCCTCATAGACTGCAAGATCAGCAAGCTTTGGAAAATGTATTTCATCTTGTAGAGGAAAATTGAGCAAGTCCCAGAATAGGGAAGGTAGTCCAAAAAATGACATGTTCTATTTAGTACCAAGAGCAGCTTTGTAGCCAGCTTGTTCCAGGAGCATCAGATCATCCTTCTGTTAGACAGGAAGCTAAAATACTTGGTCTAACAGACAGAACGCCTAATGATTTGCCCCAGTACCTCTTTGTGATAATGTTATCTTCATTATATTGGATAGTTGAAAATAATTCGATTAGAGATGGCAGATTCTCCTTACTGCATGAAAAAGTCAGGGGACCAGAGGCTGTCCCATACTGCCGGCTTATTTTAGTACCAAAATAGAGATACCTCAGTGGTTACATCAGGGGGGATATTGTTTCTGCAGCACGGGGGAATTCTCTGCCGGGGAAAAACTGCTAGGGTTATGAGGGAGATTCCTGTTCCCATCAGGAAAAGGGCTGTAGCAGTAGGATGGGAAAGAGCGTCCATATTCCCCGCTGTGCCTGGTGACTGCCCACTTACCTCTCACATTGCCAGCAGGGTGGGTCGGGTGCATCTGCATCACCCCAAACCTTGGTGCACCAAGCACAGAGGGTCCTGGAGCCTCCCACAGGCTCCGTTGGGGCTGCGCTGCCCGCGCCGGCCCCAGCGTGGGTCGGGTGTCTGGCTCACACTTCGTTACCCTGAGCCCAGCGACATCTCTCCGAGTATGACTTCATCGTGGCATCTGCTGCCCCACAGCAATGAATGCTTCAATTTCTAGTCATCCATCGTGTTTGCGTCTACAGATATGCTTACCTGATTTAAAGAAGGTGATGCTGTTTGGTTTTAAGTATTAATTTCAAGCTGAAGCTCTGCTGCTTGTTAAAAACTGGGTAAGCCGGGATTCATTTCCTAATAGGAATCAATTGCCTCTCTTTGCAGAAGAAAATAAGAAAAGGTTGTGGCACTGATATTTCACATTTTAAATGAAAATGAATCTTACTTCATGATATTGCAGATGGTTGATTTTCCATAGCCTTTTTGCATTGATTAACTATTATTTCAATCTTGAAATAAAGTATTTAGTACTTCAGTTATTCTCCTTGTCAAAACAAATCAATAACTTTCACATTCACAAGAGAGAAAATAGGTGATGACTGTTTCCTCTGCAACAGTGATTGTTATTTTCATAGTGTTTAGAGGTAAAATTATTTCAAAGTATTTACTGGTCCGAGGAGCTGACACTTGCTGTTAAATTCTTAAATTGCTTTTTTGAAGTCACATTGTGATCTTAGTAAATCTGCTAACTTTTCTTGAAGATTTGTGCAGATTTTTAAAATATATGTATTTAACTTGCAAGAGTATTGTTTATACCAAATTATGTTGTTTTGTGGTATTTTTGACAGTAGTTCTTTTCCCATATTGTATAAAATCTGAATTAAACCCAAGGGAAATTGTGCTGCAGTATTTGTCATTGGACACTTCAGCCCAGAAGTCTTGAGGGCCTGCCAGAACTGCAAAGATCCTTGATCTGCTTTCCTTTATTTAAAATTTGGTAGTGTGTTTACCTCGGTTGTATGCATAGGATATGCAGTGACATCCTGAGCTTTACTGTTTTTTCCAAGATAACAATGTACTGGGTCACTGCTGTTGGGTCAATAGTCTTGAGGAGATGAGAGAGCCTGACAAGTCTCTGAGGCACCTCCTGGGGAATGCTAAATTCATTGGCTGCATTTATTTTTGCTGATCTCAGCCTTTATCTCAAATGAATCCTGCAACTTTATAGAATAATTGCCATGATGCTGCAGTAATAATGCTGCCAAGTCTGGTAATTTGGGGTATTATTTAGAATAGCATTTTGTTTTTAATAAGGAAGGATCATGTAGACAAGTGCAAATCAGTTTTCTGCTCTAAATTTTATCTTTTTTTTCCTTCAGGAATTTTTTTTTTCTTCCCTGTGTCTAGTTTCTTTGGTCCTGGTGCAGTGGAAGCTCCTCAAGTCTGTTAAACTCCATTGTTATTCGCTGAATGCTAATGAGTTTGTATCAGTTCTACATTTTGCCCAGTAAACTTTTCTTAGACCTCACAACTCTTCTCTCCACCAGGACTGTGAGTGTGGACAGGAACAAAGAATAAAAGACTAAAACACCCCCTTCTTATAGCAATCTGGATATTTTGCTTTTACAGATGAGGTCTCTGGAATTCAGGTAGTCTAACATCTGAAGACTGGTACTTCAAGTCAGTGCTTTGCCAGAAAGCCAGAAGCTTGCCAGAGAAAAATGAGCTGTCCCTCTGTACAGGCCTGGAAGCCAGAAGTTATTTTGCTGTCTTTGACCTTGAGTTTCTCTACCTCTATTTTCCCCTCTGCAGGAGGGGTTGCATGTTACTGCCTCACCTAGATCGAGTGCTTATTAATAAGTTAATGTCTTAAGGTACATTAAAAGCATGTAATAGCTATTCAAGTCCCAGTTGTTCTTATGCTTTAAAATAACAGTCAATTCCTGGATTTTTTTATTCAGTTTTATTACAGACATTATAGAACATTAAGTTCATTTGCACACTTAATGCTTTTGATTGCAAACATTTTCTGGTACTTGTAACATCTATTCATAACCTATCCTCAGAAGGGCAATCTGTCCCTTGTCATAGTATGATTATTATGATATGTCATTTGTGCTGCCAGTTTGCCTCTATTTTCCCTGATAAATTAACAGCTTTATGATAGATTAAGTTGAAACAGAGAAGAGGGTAATTTCCACATAACCTTTTTTCTGCAACCTCTGTTGCCAATTTGTGCCCTACTGCAAACAACTTTCCCCTCCAGCCCAAAGGGTATGTGTCAAGCATAAGTAAAAGTCTAGATTTGGGCATCATTTTTCACCATTTCAGAATGCATTTTAAGAGCTGGTGAAAATCCGATAAGCCCTGCTACCGAAATCTGCAGAAGGCTTCATCCTACTGACTGAAATGAATTTGAAAAGAAAGACCATGCCTGAAAGCTGTGCGTCACGAACAGCAGCAAAAGAAGCTTTAGAAACCCTCCTGTGCCACTGGAATATATCTTTAATTTTTAGTTAGGGAGACAGCTTCTTGATCTGAAATAGCCTTATTTTCTGCCTTTCCCATATAGTTCTCAGTCTGTCTGGTAAGATGACAATTAATTTCAATTACTCTGTGGGCTTTTGTACACTAGCAGCTGCATCAAGGCCTTAGTTTGTTCAACTTACGTACTAAAGAGCTGTTAAGTGGCAATATCTCACTCCGGGCTAGAATTGCATCTGCGGCAGAGCAGTGAAAAATCGCTGTGTCCAAAAAGACAGTGTGTGAGACCAGTTCCTCTGGGACACCCAGTTCAGCTTTAGACTGTAGATTTATGAAATTAAATGCATTAGACATTCCTGCCAGTGTCTTGTAAATCTTATAAAACGTATTTGAGTCAGAAAACATTTATCTTCCATAAAACTTGTCGAGAGAATTGCTTTTTGTCTAAACTTTAGTGTTGCCTAAGGATATAAACACTTAATATTTATATCTCTACCTTCTCTCTCTGTCTCTCACACATATGCTTCTATTGTAGAAATGTATATACAATGGTTTGAAGTTTTTTTAGATTTTTGTTTTAACTGCTAAGTACAGAAGAGTGTACTGTAGATCTGAAAACATGCTGATAAAAATGTAACTCTCTATTCCAAAATCAAAGAGCTTGGGATGACAGATGAGAAGCATGTCCTTTTTTTTCCCACTAGATTTTAAAGGAGGGATTTTGCTTTTTTCTTTTTCAATTTTGTCTGTACCATGAGTCACTCGTGTGCTTAAATTCGGAATTTCATTAAAATATTTTCTCATTAGAAACATTGTAAGCTATAGTGGTGCAACTTTTTTGATGTCTTGATCATGTAAAGATGATGCAACATTAATTGCAAGTGCTTGTACTAGTCACCTATGAATTATTCAAATCTATGTGTTAAGATACATTTATCTTCTTAAAACAAGTACTTAGCTGTAGCTTTGTTCTCTAATTTTCTTGCAAAGCACGAAGCTGATTTAAACTGAACTGTTTGAAACAATAGTGTGCTTTTTGGTAAACAATGCTAAAAAATTTTGTGGTGTAGACCACCTGACCATGTTGGATTTTTGCTAATGATCTGGAGGAATTTATACACAGTGGAAATACCCAATGACCTTGATTCGTCTTTCTTAAGTATACTGCAGTACTGCATGTATTTCATAAGTGCTTTGCTTAGACAGCTGACTTAGTCAAAATGCTGTGGAAAAGGCTGATTTTAATCAAGAGGAACACAAAACACCAGGAAAAATGAGGGGCTCAAAATAGAAAGTAGTATTATCAAGAAAGTGGATGATTCAGAAAAATTACAATGAGATGAGAAGCTGCTTGTTTCTAGACCGCTAGTTCAAATAAAGATCCTCAGTGTTAATTTGTAAATCTTGTTGCCATCCAATACCTGCTTAGTAGCCTAAATTGGTGAATCACGTTGCTGCCTGCTACCCGATGTGCACACCCAGTTTCACGAGCTCGGTGCCCTGCGCTCTGGAGAGCTGAGCCCTTGCCTTCCCCACAACTCAACCAACATCTTCTCGCCCAAGAAGTGCAAGTCATGGTTTCCCTCTGCCTTTCTACAATCCTCCTCGACAATCTATACCTTTCCTTCCTCCCACTCTTTTACTCCACTTTTTGTGTTCAGGTGAGACATTTTCTCCTTGGTGCCTGCATGCCAGCGGAGTGGTCACACAGCCACCAGGCTGAAGACATGCTTAGAGCCCCAAGTAGCCGGTGCAATTCTCACTAAGCCTTGTGACTCTATTTGCCATGGATCTTTAGTTTTCAGTCCTGGCTGCCAATATTTCTGCCAGCATGCTGTCCTACCTCTCCCTAACAAGTGTCATACCTTAAATCTAATGTGTACTCAGTTTAAATCCATTAGATGTCTTGCTGGTCATAAAGATCTTTCTGTCCTCATTTCTTCTCAGAAAGGGATGAAAGACCACTACTTTCCTAAATACGGTGAGAGAAGCAACTCAGTCTTCGATTGAGCTGTTTCCTTTAGTTTATTTATTTGTTTTTCTTTCCCAACAGCTCTGGTCTACATACAGGTGACAGTGTTACAAAAACAGGACCTGGGGGCCTTCCAGACATGAGACAAGTGCCAACTGTTGTGATCGAATGCGATGACAATAAAGAAAATGTGCCTCATGAAACCGACTATGAAGATTCTTCCTGCCTCTACACAAGACAAGAAGAGGAGGAAGAGGAAGATGAAGATGAGGATAACTCATTATTTACAAGTAAGACTCATTCCATTTTTCCTTTCTCATTTATTTAATTTTTACTATGAACTCTCAATGCACAAGGGAAACACAAGGCCTATGAATTTTCTTTCTTGACTGTAGCTTTTGCATCTCTCAGGGCTTGACTACATGGGAATGCTTGGTAAATTAATCCAATATTGCAAGTAGCATGAAATTTATAGTGATTTCCCTAATCCACATGAATCCCTGTCTGGGTAGCTTTCAGACAAAATTCAAATGACTGGGTTTGGCTTATATTGGTTCACTCTCAAATTGACTTTTGGCTTCACTTTCCCAAGTGTCTGTGATGTAGGGAAGCCCTGCCTGTGGCTTAAGTCAAGAGCAGCTCAATAGAGTTACTTCAGAAGGATGAAATAAGTGCCACCAATAGAGAATCAGAGTTTTTAGATATAGTAAGTATTAAATCATGTCAGAATCATAAGTCTGCACGTAATTTGAAAGGGGTCACAATCACAGAATTGGGCTCAGATAAGAAGAGGTTAATTGACAGCCTTATCACAGTTACAGTCTGGAGAGGGACCTGTGGCCCCTCCCTGACCTCTCTGAGAAAACCCTCCTCCGTGCGGCATCATAGGACTCTCCCGTGAAGACAGGATACAGTACTTTGTGTATGACAACAGCTTGTCATCCTGCGGGTCGAGCTGAAGTGTCAGGCCCTTGGGTTTCTTTTCTTCTGCAAACTGGGAGCAGTGCAATCAAACAAAGCCGTTTTTAAAACACACACAAACAGGGTTCTAAAGCAGGCGTTTTTCATCTCCTCAGAACCCTCCCTTACCCTGCAAGGGACATTAAGCAGTCTTTGCTCTTAAACTAAGAAACAGAGCAGAACTGCACTATCTCGCACCCTCCTGCAAAGCCCAAAACCTCTCTGACCTTTCTATCTGTCTGCTTGTGTCTGTCTTCACTACTCAAACTGTTTTGGATGCAAGCCTAGGAAAGCAAGCTTGAGCTGTGAAAGGCCACTGGTTTTCACAGTCTTTGTCACTGCCTGAGAAGCAGCCTCAGTTAATGAACATGGAGATCTGTGCTGCTTCTGATTGACTTTTGATTCCTTCTAGTGCTAGCTTGGATGTCTTTGGTATTACATTGCAAGAGAGGGAGATGCCTCTCTCTTTCCACATGATGTAGTTTTGTTGCCTGTCTAGATTCTGAGGTTGAATTATTCATTGCATTACATGGTTCAGAAACACTGTGCTAGAGAAAGCTACAGATGCTACTGGCAATTCTGATGCCCTTCTCCACTCCCCTGTATGGAACAGTATACCTACCAAATTCAGCTTTTCCTTATTATGATAAGAATTGAGGTTAATTGAGCACCTGGAGTTAATTGACACCCCTTTTCCCACAGTCCATACCAATGTAAATGAGAGCCTGGTATCCTCCCTTAGCTAGTACCTCTTTGCCTGCTGCATGCTGTAATGAAATGATGACACCTCCTTTGGCAGAGCCTTTCCTCTCTCCCACAGGCTCCTTGGCAATGAAAGTCTGCAGGAAGGACTCTTTAGCAATCAAGCTAAGCAACAGGCCTTCTAAGCGAGAGCTGGAGGAAAAGAATATCCTTCCCATGCAGACTGATGAAGAGAGGCTCGAACTTAGGCAGCAGATTGGGACAAAATTAACAAGGTAGGAGACAAACATTTTTCTGACTCTTGGCTTTGGAAATATGTGGTGGGATACAGTTCTCATCCTTAGCCTGTAAACATTTGAGATATGTTTGCTCATAGTGTTCAAGAGGAAAAGCCATGGAGGAAAAAAAGATTCTATATGTTATTTCTGTTCCAATATAACTTCCCATACAACACCCCAGTTCATTTTCCTGGCATATTCTGTGGATTGTTTGGTTGTGCTAAGTATCAGAACGAACTACGTGGATCTTGTTGCTTTTGGTGCACCATTGGGAAATGTTCAGCTCTGATAACATTTTTTGACTATAGCTGCAGGTGCCATTTGATAGGCTGTTAGCTTGGCTGAAGGGCAGAGGGATAACTGACTCTCTGTTCTGACTGCATCTCCTGTGAGTAGCTGAGTCTTTTCCTTATCCAAAATACTTATGTCCTTCAGTACCTGGTTTTGTTGGGTCAGGTTGGACAAATTTACCCTGTCTAGACTCTTTCTTCTTTGCAACAGTGTTACCCGCCAGCTGTGCTGTTTTTCTGTATTGCATGGAGCATTAACCATTGATGTGGAAGCCTGTCAAGAATTAGTAGACTGAGGCCAGGTAGAAATGTCTAAGAACCTCCTATGCTCCAGCCATGATTTCTGTAATCAATTTAATACTGTTATGTTATCAACTTGGTGGGTGGTATGCAGAGCTGGTGAATGCTGTTAGTTGCCTTAAACCCCAAGAAGACCAGCCAGCTGTTGGAAATTTTCTTGTGGATTTTCTTTTGTTGGGGATTGTTTATTTGGTTTTAGGTTTGTTTTTTGTTTTTTTTTGGTGAGGGGATAAGAGGGGAACAACGCTACCATGTTGTGGATACAGGAAGAATAGGAGCTCCTGGTAAATACCTCTTTCAGCATTTTACCTACTTCTTTTTTTCATGGCCTTGTTTATCACCTCTTTCAAATAAACTAACCACCTCTTTCCAGTCTGTCTTTGAAAGTCTTTGTGCTGGATCATGCTTAGCCTACTCCAAGACCTGTCTAATTCTTCAGTGTTCTCGCTGAAGGACCTCAGCAGTGATGCCCAAAGTATGCAAGGTGGCACTGCACTGTTGCTAGTACTGTGATTTTTCAGTCTAGACTTTATTCAGCCTAATACCTTGTTAGAGTGCAGCTGCACATGGAGCTCTGAGACCCAAAGAGCAGCACACACTAGCAAGGTCCCAGTGCTTATATGATTAATTTTGAACCCTTTTGAAGCATGTAAAGAGTTTAAATTTTTGTCTCTTAGCGTATCTTACTGTGTACTGCTTGACCTTGCAATGACATTGAAGAGCATTTTCACTCTGTTGCCCATTTGGCTAAATTACTTAGGTCTCTCAGAAGTTTTACAGCTCTGTCTGATGAAGGTAAATAGTGTTATTTGCAGACATTGACTCTGCACAGCTCACTGTGCCCCAGGTGTTTTTTGTTATAAATGTTTTATATCTCACCTCTCCAAAACCTCCTTTTCCCCATTAAAGACTGTTTCTTCAGCGTATCTCTTTTTAACAAAGGAAAATAATTTTGGCGATACCTAGAACCCTGTCTATATAAGCCCCGTATTCTCACAATGTCATTGTTTTATTTCCTCAGTGGCATCTCTGCTCATTTAGTCTGAGGTATAAAGCTTGATCTTGTCATCTAATGTAGCTAGGACTGAGGGGCAATCACAAGTAGTTCAAATAATTGAACTGTGTATATACAAACTCAAAAAATAGCTGAGCCACTGCTGTTTCATTCCCCTTTTTCTACCAGTGTAACATCACTGAAATTGGTAGAATTTCACAAGCCTTATCTGGAATAATATAGTTGCCAGTCTGACCTTTTAATTAATAGTGTTTGCAACTTAGTGTCTCATCCTTTTGCGTAGTTAAAAACAATCAAGAAATATGAGGAGAAAACAAATTTCCTGATCTCTAATATGCAAAAAGCCAGACATTTTAGTGGCAAAAGGAACGTACCTGTCTTACCAGTGCTTTGTATCTAGTTGTGACGTATCCATGTGCACAGACTGATGAGTATTAGATTGAAATAGAGAGAATATTTCAATTTGGGCAGTATTTCTTTACTGTCCAGGCTTCATTACTGAATCTGTCCTTTGTCATTGCTCAGTAATTGTCACACAGTGGTGCAAATGCCAGACAAAATTAAAGTAGTGAAGCGTTTATAGTCCTTAGAGAAGATGCTAGATGCAGACTATAATTGCAGCTGGCAATTTTGGGTTTCAGAGGGATTTGTACAGTTCCACCAATGGTTCCCTATGGTTTAAAATAGCCAGCCAATGAAATCATATATACTACTTACAGAAGTAAAAAATGCAGAATAAAAACTTCAGCAAATAGTTATTGTCTGTAATGGATCAATTAATTTTCAGCAAGAGGCTGATGAGGATGCTTCAGTATTTATGCATAATCCTCACAGTATTTAGTTTGGAAGAGCTCGTTGGCTGCCACATTTGGCAGATTAGAATTTAGTACTATAAAAAGAACGTCTTTAAAAAAGACGCTTATAACCAGGCATATTGAGAGATAGACCACTGACATACTGTGTGGGACCACAATCATCCCAGGTGTAGTTCCTCCAGCCTTATTATAGTTGTACCAGGAATCAATCTGGCTCAGAACTGTTTGTTCAGATCCTGTTTAAATGTAGCTTGGAACCTCTGAACCTCCAGCTAGTCCCAGAAGATTGTTACGACTTTATTATTGCATCCGCCAACTGGTAGGGAGACTCCAGAGCGGACATCACTGTGTCACCTGTTTCCTATTCTGGGAGAATAGTACCTTGACTTACACCAGACCAGTTGTAAGGCTGAGGCTGCAAAGACTCTATCTTATAGTGGGATCTGGCCCCCTACACTCATGAGTATTAGCTCAGCCAGCCATGAGACACATTAACACCTTTGTGCCTATCGTAGAAACACTTCACGTGAATGTAGCACTTTGCTGGTGTGTATCCTGTGTCATAGCTCAGCACGCATAGGTCCAAGCAGAAATGAAGCTTTTTGCCCAAGATGGCAAAATATGCCCTAGCAAAGGCTGGAGATGCCACATCACATAAATTCCAGCCACGTGAATAGGCCACTGCACCACAGGCTACTACTGGGCAGTCTTTACACAGCTATTACAGCAACTAATTAGGAGACCTCCTCCTCTAACCAAACCGGAATGGACTACTCCAAAATATGATACCTACTATAAAGCAAGGAGCAGAAATAGTGAGTTATGATGCAGAACTTGCAGCTCATAACCACATGAGATGTGGGAATAGGAAATAGATGCTGGAGGCCATGTTCTTGACTGCTAAAAAACCTTACAACTCCATAAACTTCTACTCTGAAATGCAGACCTTCTGCGCTAAGTAAATATTTAAGTGGGTATGGTTTTAGGGTTTGGGGTTTTTTTCCCTGCCTGCTCAGCTTCTCCCAAACTACTCCATTTTATCCCTCTGGTACCAAGAAGCACATGTAAGTGACCGTAAGACAGAAAAGAGAAAACAGGAGGAAAACCAGGACTCTGTCTTTTCCCTCTGCCTGTTAACTTTCAGACTTCTGCCTTCTGCCTGTCTCTCTGGCTGTGTTGGACCTGCTTGGAAACAGTGGTCCCCTGGCTATTCAGGGTAGAACAGGGGACAAGAGGACCTGGATTTCCCTTTCAGTGGCTATAAGGGTGAGAGGAGTGGGGCATGCCTGGGCTATGACTGTGAAGCAAGGACTCAGACAGGCTCTGGATCTGAGCTTGGAGGTTCTCCCAGGGACAGTGATAAAGGCATGGCCTCTCAGGAGCCTCTGGTGAGGAGAAGGACCAGCACTGATGGGAGCCACATGTCTCACAGAGACTGTGGGACCGTCCCCTGGTACTGAGATGGGTGCTTCAGTGACGGTCCTTGCACTTCTGTTTCACCAAGGAATCATAATGGTGGTTACAAGAGAACACACAGACTTTCTCAGTCAACATATTGTTTAGTAAGCGCAAGAGCCCTTTAGAGAAAATGAATCTATATATTTCTGTATAGCTATACACTATACTAGACTTTGGTGAGGACTTTGCAGTCCCTTGAACTGGGAAGACCTGGTTTCTTTACATGTCTTTCACAAAGGCTCTCCCATACCTTGAGACAGCATATGTCTTTAGGCTATGACTGATCTGCCATGCATCCTATGGGAGAGGCTTTTTAAAGCACTCCAGTCTTTTTTGAGTTTCTTAAGCCCCCAACTCTAATGAAAGTGCTCATTAGCAATTAGATACAGGAATATTAAAGCTGAGATTTTCATCCACTGCTTTTTCAGGAACGCATGGCAGTGTCCTTAGCTGTTTTCCCTGAATTGCTTCCATCCTGGCTTTTCCCCCTTGCTGGAAAAGGATGATCTAAACATACAAAAAAATCTGGTAATCCAGTATTACTATCATCACATAGCTAATAAGCAGTGTTAGGGGAGCTTCTTGATATTCACTGGTCAGCATCATGTCTGTCTCATCAGCACACTCCTGCCCACCTCGGGCCAGAGGGCAGGCTGGCTGCTGGCCACAAGGCAGGGGAGATGCATAAAGGCTGTCCACAGGCGAGTGGTGCATGTCAGGGGACTGCTACCCATCACTGGCAGGTGCCACAGGCAACTCAGTAAGATTTGGTGCTGTGCTGCTGCCAAAAGCTGTCAGTTGTAGGAGTCAGGTTTAACCCAAGACCATGCCTGATATGAAAGCAAAGAGAGGTGAGGTGGGTGAGCAGTCCTCTGCACATTAACTAAATAATTAAATAACAAATAATTAAATTATAAACCAATGAAGAAGAACGTGACTTCGTGCAATGACCACACACTACCTCTCGTGTGACTTTGAGTGATAGACATCCCATTGCTCAACTGAATCCTGTGAGCGTGTCACTTTATATGTTCTGCTGGCTTTAAAGCAGTGAATCAATGCCAAGCTTCTCTGTCAGTACTGCTCTGCTTTGTTTTTTTGTTTAACCCTAGATTTATT